TTTTAACACCTAAACAGTGTCTGCACATAACAAAATGTCCATTTTTCACAGCACTGAGTGTTGCCACCACAGGAACAACATTCCCATTCCCATCTTATTTCTGACCCTCACTTTGTGTGTTTGCTTTGGCTCCAGCAGCTGGTTAAACTGGGATTTGGGGAATTCTACAACCCCCAGAACCTTAAAAAAATGATTTTAATACTTAAAGAGTGTCTGCACATAACAAAATGTACATTTTGCACAGCACTGAATGATGCCACCACAGGAACAACAGTGAATCTCATTCCCATCTTATTTCTGACCCTCACTTTTCTTGTGTTTAATTATTTCCCCTCAAACTTAGTGTGTTTGCTTTGATTTATTTTGCTTTGCACCAATATTTCCTCACCCTCCCTCCCTCCTTCTCTCTTGTCCGGGTGAAATATTCATCTTGTTTATTATTATTAACTTCCCCTTTTCTCTAATCTATTTAAATGCTTTCTCACATTTCCACTTCCTCCGGCCCAATTTCTCACTTGCAGATTTTTCTGTTCAGCTGCACTTTGCTTTAACAGCCTCATTTATTTACTGTTCATTTATTTGCTTTCATTTCCAAGCCTTTCCTCTCCTCCCCTGTCTTGGGCTGTGTTTGGGCTTCACTCCTGCTGAGGAGCTGCATTTTTCTGCTCGATTTGCTCCAAGATGAGCCGGATTTTGTGGGATAATTCATTTTCATTTGGGGTTTTTTGATGGGATGGAAGAGTAGAAAGTGTAGAAAGTCCCATTTTCCATTTTCCCAGCTGCCTGAGACAACCCTGGTATTATAAATAAAACAAACATGTAGATTAATACCCACTCCTTCCCTCCGTGCTCCAGCATTTTTCCAGCCTGATGTTGTATTTATAAGGAATCTTGTTTGGAAAGGATGTTTTGGGGTTTTTTTTCACAGATTATTTCTGAAATATTGTTGCCACATTATCTGTCCCGTGGGTCTTTCACATCCTGGCTAAAAGGGGAGTTAAAGATTTGTGCTCAAGGTCAGAGAACAGAGTGGAAAACTTGGCGAAGAGGATGTTCATCCCCTCCAACCTTCTCTGGACACGGAGACAGAAACCACTGAGGGTTAAAACTGCTGCAGGAAAGGAGGAACTGGGCAAAAGGAGGAATGACCAGAAGGAAAAGACATCCCAGGGGTTGGGAATGGGTCCAGCTGCCCAGGATCCTGCAGGAAGGCGATCAGAGACTCTTGGGGAGTTGGTTTCTGGGCTCCCCAGGGGAGTGATCATGGAACCAACCCTGCCAGAGTCGAAGTGTTTGGCCAACACTCTGAGGCACGTGGTGGGACTTTTTGGGTTGTCCTGTGCAGGGCCAGGAGCTGGGCTCAATGGGTCTCTCCCAGCTCAGGATAATCTGTGATTTGATGAGCAATTTGGGGACTCAAAGAGCAACTGGATGTTCTTTATTCTGTTTCCACCCCATTTGTGACCTTACAACCCTTTACTTTGAGCTTCCCTTGGTCCTTTCTCTCTCTAAAGACCAAAGGTCCTGCTGAGGTGTCTCCTTGACCAGGACTTGTTTTATTTCTCAGTCTTTTTCACTCCCATTCCACAGTTGAACTCCTGCAGGTGTTTCCATGATGTTTCCATGTTTCCATGATGTTTCCATGTCCCTCTTCTGCATCCTGAGTCATCTGCCAAGAGGTGTTGTGGGAGCAGAAGGAGGGAGCCCAGAAAGATTGGAGAGGTCACGAGGGACTGGAAAAACCTGACAGAGCCCAGAGCTGGTTGACAGGTAACAACAAACATTGTTGCTTGGAAACCCCAGATGGTTCTGGAGGACAGGGGAGCAGAACAAAACAAGAACATCAGTCCCCATCCCTGCCTGGAGCACGGAAGCCTCTGAGGGACAACCTCCAGGCACAAGAGTGGCATCAGGGTTGGAACTGGGTGAGCTTTGAGGTCCCTTCCAACCCAAACCTTCCCCCGATTCTGTGGTCACTGCTGGTTTCTGTTTGAAGTTTCTTTGGGCAAGCGAGAGAAAGCTGGGTGATTGTGGACAACCCAGCAAAAAAAAAAATCTCCTCCTCTCCCACTTCCCACAAATATTCAGCTCCCATTCCATGGCAGAGAGGAAGGATGGAGGATTCCAGACAACCCGGCTCCGAGTTTCGCGGTTCAAGCCCGAGAAGGGAGTCCCGCCTTGGAATCAGATAAATTGCTCCCCAAATTAGCAATGCAGGCAAGGTCAGCAGGGAAAAAAAAAAAAAAAAAAAGAAAAGATTGGATCTGGAGATGAGATGGAAGAAAACACCTCTACCCCTGCAGCTTTGTAACAGGTTCCTACGCACGAACACACCCAGCCCTGATCACACCTTGGGTGCTGTCACTCCCCAACCCTCAAATTACTGCAATCAAGGGAAGGAAAAGACAACTCAGTCCCGGTATAAAACCTTCCTGTGGTGCCCCGTCCCACACCTTTGGGGCTCTGAGGGCTCTCCTTCAACCATGAAGGCTTTTCTGGTTGCCCTGCTGGCGGCCGTCCTGTGTGCCCAGCAAGGTAAGGAGCTTGGGAGGCTTTTGGGAGAACCAGGATGGGAATGGGAACATCAGGAGAGAAATTCAGGTTAACTCAGGGACAAGAGGGTTTTGGGAATGGGAACATCAGAAGAGAAATCCAGGTTAACTTAGGGACAAGAGCGTTTGGCAGCTTTTAGTGCAGCTGGTGAGGTCTTGGGGGGGAAGTTTTGCATTGGGCACGTCGAGGAATATTTGGGGTGGTTTAGTCTTTGTTTCTGGGTGAGTTCTGCAGAGGTACCTGGGGATATTTAGTGTGGTTAAGTCTTAGTTTCTGGGTGAGTTCTGCAAAGGTACCTGGAAATATTTTGTGTGATTTAGTCTTTTTTCTGGGTGAGTTCTGCAGAGGTACCTGGGGATATTTAGTGTGGTTAAGTCTTAGTTTCTGGGTGAGTTCTGCAAAGGTACCTGGAAATATTTTGTGTGATTTAGTCTTTTTTCTGGGTGAGTTCTGCAGAGGTACCTGGGGATATTTAGTGTGGTTAAGTCTTAGTTTCTGGGTGAGTTCTGCAAAGGTACCTGGAAATATTTTGTGTGATTTAGTCTTTTTTCTGGGTGAGTTCTGCAGAGGTACCTGGGGATATTTAGTGTGGTTAAGTCTTAGTTGCTGGGTGAGTTCTGCAGAGGTATCTGGAGATATTTTGTGTGGTTTAGTCTTAGTTTTTGTGTGTTTTACAGAGGCACCTGCAAATATTTTGTGTGATTTAGTCTTTTTTCTGGGTGAGTTATGCCAAGGTACTTGGAAATATTTAGTGAGGTTTAATCTTAGTTTCTGGGTGAGTTCTGCAGAGTTGCCTGGAAATATTTTGTGTGATTTAGTCTTTTTTCTGGGTGAGTTCTGCAGAGGCACCTGGAGATATTTAGTGTGGTTAAGTCTTAGTTTCTGGGTGAGTTCTGCAGAGGCACCCGGAAATATTTAGATTGGTTGAGTCTTGATTTCTGAGTGAGTTCTGCAGAGGTACCTGGAGATATTTTGTGTGGTTTAATCTTAGTTTTTGGGTGAACTCTGCCCAGGTACCTCAAAGCTGAGCTCCCCCCTCTGGTTTCTCACATCCTTCCCTCTGAAGACAGGCACAAACTCAAACATGCTCACAGAAATTAAGCCAAGCTCAGAGTCCTGCCTTTGGTTTTATTTTTGTTCCTGGATGAAACCGGGGGAGCTGCTGTCAACAGGAGGTTGTGTGGCTGGTTTTGACACCCCATCTCCTGCCAGAGCTTCACTCTCCTTCCCACAGCCACATCCCAATTAAGAAACGAGATTTTTGAAAGCCCAAGAGCTCTTTGCTCCTGAGTTTGAGGAGCAAACTCTCAAGTGGGAGTGTGTTTATTGTGGAATCCACGGCTCTCTTGTCCTTTTGCACCATTAAGGTTATTTCTGGCTGCGTTTCCTAAAATTCCAGCTCCTGGAGGGTGGAGCCCAGAGGCAGGAAAGGCTTTATAGCAGCTCTAATGGCTTAAGCTGTTCTTGTTTCCTGGCTGGAAGGGGTTTTCTTTGCCTCACTTAGTGAGTACAAGTGCATTGCAGTTGCTTTCAGGCACGTGCTGGGGTTTGGGCTCCTTCTGCAGCAGGAAGTGGTTTGAACAACTTTGGCAACAAAAGGAACTCAGAGAGAGCTCCAGGGGCTGTAAAATGCAATCAATTCTTGCTAAGTAGCAGGTCTGGGGTTTGCTTTGCCTGCCAAAGGACAGGAGCCCACAGCTCGTGTTGGGGAACCTCCAGAGGAGAGAAAAGAGGCTGAAAATATCCATGTGATGGAGAAACAGGGAAAACTGAACAGTGATTTAAAGAGGAGTTAAAGCCAGGATTCAATTCAGTTCAAAACCAAGGCTGGTTTTATCTCCTACTCCGGAGAACAGCTGAACTTGCAACACCTGGACTGGAAAAGAGCAGGGAATCATCAAACCATAGAATGGTTTGGGATGGAAAGGACCTTAAAAATCATCCAGCTCCAACCCCCTGCCATGGGCAGGGACACCTTCCACTAGACCAGGCTGCTCAAAGTCCAACCTGGCCTTGAAGCATCTGGGTCAGTCCTGTGCTGAGACACCCAGAGCTGTACCCAAGACACCCAGATCACAGAGGAGAGGCCTTTTCTCTCCCTGCTTGTGATAGTCAGGGACTACACTGGCTTTTAATTCTCTTTCAAAACTGCTTCTGCAGTCGTCTAACCAAGTTCATGGGCAGATTGAACTCCAGGGATGAGTTTGAACCAACAGCAGCTGGGCTTTGGAGAGTCCCTGGCAGGGGGCTAAAACCAAGTCCAGAATTAATTGAGAGAGGATTTTGTGCAGAATTTAGAGCTTTGCTGGGCTGAGAAAGGCAGGAGGAACCAAACCAGGGGAAGTTCAGGACCCTCCCTGCTTTATAATTGGGTCACCTGCAACCAAGAGCTGGGAAGGATGGAGCAGGATTTCCCCAGAGCAGCTCAACTCCCTCTTGTCACCCCTGACCCAAAAGGAGGAGCATTCCATGGAACTCCAGGCAGCAGGGAAAACAATTTCCCCCAATGAATGCACCTCCGGGGAACGGGATGGCACATGCCCACATTCCTCACATAAAATGCCACCTGGAATCCTAACTCAATTGACTTGGGTTGTGCCCAGCAATCCATATCCCACCTCCTCCTGGTTTGGAAATAGCCCTGGCACAGCGCTGAGTTAAGAATATCCCTGGGAACACGTCGTTCCAGGCGCTGATAGGAATAATCTCTCCATTGTCCGGAGCGACCTCTCCCTTTATTGTGGGGCTGTGTTTAGTCATTTTGCTCCCTGGGGGTGCCACAGGCATTCATTAATTCATGTCTGGGAAGTGCTTTTTGCAGATATTGCCTGAAAATCCCTGGGATTGAGCTCTCAATCCAAGAACTGGGCCAGTTCCTTCTCTCCTTGCCAGTTCTTCTCCTCCTCGCAGGTTGTGAGCTTTGCTTTTGGAGCTTGGCTTCCAGCCAGGCCAATGTGGACCCCAGGACAGAAGGAAAGGTCACCTGGGAATGCTGCTCTGGCTGGAAAACATTGTTTCAAATTTAATCACCCCCCAAATCTCAAGTCAATGAGGAAAACTCGTTTTCTTCTCTGTATTTCCTTCCTCAGCTTCATTAATCAAAACCAACCCCTTCTTTCACTTGTTCACAACGTACTTTTCACCTTGAGTTTTCCAAGGAAAGATATGGCTTTGACACCTTTTTTTCCCAAGAGGGAATGGCTGGAAACCTCTAATCTGTGCCACACGTGCTTTTTTCCAGCTTCCTCCCTGTTTTGCTACACATGTGACAACGAGCATTCCAACTGGAACTGCCTTAAAACCTACAAGTGTGAAGACCATGAGAAGTACTGCACGACCACATACAGCACTGCTGGGCTTGGTGAGTGCCAGCAACACATCCAGGTTTTCCTAATCTTCATTTTAGTCCTGGGAAACAGTGATTTTTTTGGGGGTCCTTTGGGAAGAATTGATGATTGAGGTTTAGGGATCACAACATGTAATTTGTGAATCCCTCAGTGGTGCTTTGTGATCCTAAAATGGTTTGGGTTGGAAGGGACCTTCAAGATCATCTGGTTCCCATGGGCAGGGACACCTTCCAGTATCCCAGTTTGCTCCAAGCTCCATCCAACCTGGCCTTGAACACTTCCAGGGATGGGGAATCCACAACTTTTCCGGGCAACCCGTGCTGGTTCCTCCCCACCCTTGTGGCTGGAACACACAGATTTCAGGAGCAGACACTGAGAACTCTCCCACATGCTCTGGGATGAAGGCTGGAAAGGGATTGGATGTAAATAATGTGGGTTTAGAGGCATTTTAGAGGCATTTTAGAGACCATTTAGAGGGAAATGCACTCCAGTAATTTCCTGCTGTCCTATGGGAAGCACAGAATCCCACAGTCATTTAGTTAGAAAAGGTCTCCAAGATCGAGTCCAACCTTTGGCTGGTCACCACCTGGTCACCCAGACCAGAGATTTCGGCTTGGCGTGGGTTTCTATCAAGGACTGTTTAGTGCCATGCATGGTGCCCACCCAGCACTCATCAACCCCCCTGGTGGCTGTTATTAATTGCAATTAATACCCCCCCCCCTTCCCGAAGAATCTCAAATTCCAGCTCTCCTTTCTCCTCCTCCCCCCAGGCAAGGACGCGGGGCACCGGATCACCAAGAAGTGCTCCGTGGACTGTCCCGAGACAAACGTGAACTTCGGGGTGGCAGCTTTTTCCACCAAGTGCTGCAGCACCTCCCTGTGCAACTTCAGCGGCGCCAACAGCATCCGAACCTCCTACGCCGTGATGCTCCTGGGAATCGCCGCCAGTCTGGGCTGGGTCATCAGGGCAGGATTGTGAGGAGGGGTGGGAGGAGATGGGACAACCCAAGAACCCACAAGGTATCCCCCGAGTGAGAAACCAGGCTCCTCTGTCAAGTGGTTCCAACAGGGGCTGTGCTGCCCTGTTCTTATCCCAGACAGATCCCATTCCCGACGTGGCAGTGCAGCTCCCGGTTTCCCCCTCCTCGTTTTATACTAATTTTCCCTGGAAAAGCTCTTTTGATAGCACAGCATGTGACGATGGTCAGACAAAAATAAAGATTTATGTTATTCTAGAGTGTCTTTGTTCAATCCAGCCTGAGACAACAGCTCTGCCGGCGAGGGGTTGTTCTCGGAATCTCCTCTTCCCGTTGAATTCCGCACTTCTGAGTCTTCTCCTGGTTGCCTTTCCCAACTGACTCAGTTGCATCCAGACATTCCATAAAGCAAAATACTCCGATGGCTCGGAGCAGAGGTGTCGGTCTGGGAAGGTCAGAGATGTTTGTGTTGCTCCCACTGCCAACTGGGAATTCCCACTTGTAGCCGCTGGGACACACGGCCGGGGTTTGGCAGGAATTGCGATCCTGCAAAGTTCTCCCGTGATCTCTGCAAGGTGGGTGGTCTCAGCTTTTCAAACAGGGAAAAGTCCCACCTGGAGATGCTGGAGATGTCCAAGGCGAGGACAGTGCTGCTGGAATGCGTCCTCCTGGGAAGGAGATCTCTGTGCCTGCTCGGAGAAGATGTTGTTGAGGGATTGGTCGTGATTTCCCAGTGGGAAAACGGACAGGATGAGTCTGGGAAAGGTGATGGGTGTCTGGGCTGGTGGGGAGGTCTCTCCTTCCCTTTCCAGTCACTGCTGCATTTTCAGGCTTGGGGATGGAGGAGATGAGATGGGGATCCTCTGGAGCTCTTGGGTTGGACATCACTGGCAACTTTTGGGGTTGAGATTCCCTCCTGCTCCTGGAAGAGCGAACCTATAGTTAAAGGGAAAAATACACATGATCGTGGAGCTGGAGAGTGTGTAATTCCCAGTTGAGCAGCTTAAAACTTCAGCACTGGATTTTGGGAGGGTTTGTATAATGGCACCTGGAAAAAATCCCTCATGTTTGCAGCCCAGCTGGGTTTGAGGGGAATCCTGTGTTGGATTTGAGGGGAATCCTGCTCTGGATTTGAGGGGAATCCCATGCTGGATTTGAGGGGAATCCTGTGCTGGATTTGAGCAGAACCCTGTGCTGGATTTGAGGGGAATCCTGTGCTGGATTTGAGGGGAAGTCTGTGTTGGTTTTGAGGGGAATCCTGTGCTAGATTTGAGGGAATCCTGTGCTAGATTTGAGGGAATCTTGTGCTGAATTTGAAGGAAGCCTGTGCTGGATTCAAGGGAATCCTGTGCTGGATTCAAGGGAATCCTGCACTGGATTTGAGGGGAATCCTGCACTGGTTTTGAGGGGAATCCTGTGCTGGATTAGAGGGAATCCTGTGCTGGATTTGAGGGGAATCCTGCTCTGCATTCAAGGGGAATCCTGCTGTGGATTTGAGTGGAATCCTGCACTGGATTTGAAGGGAATCCTGTGCTGGATTTGAGGGGAATCCTGTGCTGGATTTGAGGGAATCCTGCTCCACCAGACCGGCAAAATCCAGGTGTTTCTGTGCAACAGGAAGAAACCACAGTTCTGTCCAAAGGCTGTGAAAATGGGATTAGGTTTAATCATCCCATAAAGATTTAATTTCTGGTCAAGGAGGGTGTTCTGGCATTTATTTAAATGTTCTAACTAGAGGATAGTGGTGGTGTAGCATTTCTGTGCTGAGGGACCAACAGAAACTTGGGTTTTTGCACTTTTTTAACCACTTTTCCAATGGCTTTTCCCGCATTTTAATCACAGCAATTTCTGAAACTCTTCTCAAAGCTTTTGGCCGACTCGAAATTCCACATTTAGCAACGACATCTGAGTTTCACACTTACATTTACATACATTTACAGTTACATTTGACCAGCTTTTGTTTCGAGAAAACTGCTTTTCCCTCCCTAAAATAAAGCAACTGTTCATCCTCCTCACATGAGTTTCAACCAGGTTTAGAACGAGACAAGCAAAACACTTTTCCTTCTTCCCTCGGCAACTGTGTCAAGGGAAATAAGTCTTTCCACCTCACCTTCCACCTCCACCTCCAATTAAATCCCCTGTTACTCATTCTGAAGCCTTTATGAAGTTCATAACTTCCAAATTCTTGTAAACTCTGATATTATCTTTACTTCTTGTGTCCTGAAAAAATCATCTTTCTGCCTTCATGATTTTTTTTTTTTTTTTTTTTTTTTTTTTATTTCTGGTGAGGGACAAAGACAACATTAAGAAGGACATAAGGGACCAGCTGGAAGATTCCAGGATCATCTACTGGAAAATCCTGCTCTAAAGCCTTTAAGAACTCGGGCCCTGCCTTCTCAAAATCTCAGCAGCTTGCAGGAGACAGGAGATATTTTAGGTTTTGGCTTGGCTGAGATTACAGGGGGAGGGAATCAAAAACAAGTGCCTGGTTGAGCTGCTATTTCTGTACCTGCGAGGGGATGCTGTTGGCTGAGATAACTGGAATGTGGGCTGGCTCTGCTCTGCAACTCAACGTTCCCTCTGCTGAGGGGCATCACCCCCCCCCCCCAGATAATCACTAAAAAAAGCTGATTTACCAATCAAATCTCTCCTGGCCTGGGGAAAATCAAATATTTCACAAGCAAGAGAGGGTTTCACTGGCAAGGAAGGCGCCAGCTCCTATTTTCCTCCCTCCTGGTGCCTTTGGAAGGCTGATGAAGCCAAACACGCCCCTCCTTGGAGCCTTTTGGCTTAATTGCCACCTCTATTCCAACTGAGTTTCATGCTCTCCCTGTTGAGAAAGCAGAAATTTCCTCACCTCAGTCACGTGAACAGTGTTTATAAGCCCGATTTAGAGGTGATGGAAAGTCTTACATCACCCCAAGAACCCCGGGGTGGCTTTTGGGTGAGACAATGGCTGGAGGTGGGTCACGTCAGAAGGCCAAAATATTTACTGGGAGACGGAAATCTGAGGAATTTGGAGATGAGGAAAAAAAGGGAAATAAGGCAGATGGGCAGCAGCAAGGGGCAGAGTCACTGGCAGAGGCTTTGGGGCAGCTCCTGCAGCTCCAGGTGTCACGTGGAAGGAGCTTTTCTGGGATTGTGCCTCCGTCCCCGTGAGGAGATGGCAGGAAAACAACGGCAGGAGGGAAAAACAACAACAACCCGAAGAAGATGGGGGAAAATTCTGATTTTATACAGGGAGACAGGATGAAACATGATTTAAAAAAAAAAGGAATAAAGAGCACAACATGGAAATCCAATGGAATATTCTTGTTGGCATTTCACAGAATTTTGGCTGGTTTGTTTTTTTTTTCCTCTGAAAACTTAATGAGTTGAGATCCTTGATCAGCCAACCCCTCGTTCTCCATGCTTTAATTGGTTGGTGTTTTTCTCCCTGACATTTATTTTTATGGAATTTGTGAAAAAAAAACCAAACAAACAAACAGCACAGCTTGTTGGATGCTGTGGGAGTGGGTGTCATGTCTGGTTTTTAATTTAAGGGGTCGTTTTCATTGCCCAGTGGAATTTATTTTGTAACAAGATAACATTTTCTTCTCATATAAAATATTCACTTTTTTTTTTCTTTTTAGCAGAAACATTTGTGATTTTTTGAACTGCTGCCTTAAAAAAGAGACAGAAAATGATGCCTGGTCCCCTATGAAAGGCAGTGGAAGGATTCTGCTCTGCTGCTCTAGTGCTGTTGCCAGTCCTGGGAGACATTTTGTAGAAACTTCAGTCCCAGATTCCATTTGAAATTTAAATCCAACCCATGCCAGGGGTTTGGATTTAAAGGGATCTTTAAAGGGATTCAGCCCTGGGAGGCCCAGAAAGGAGAATTTTCCTCTCTTCGTTGTTTTGGTTTTTTGTGTCCTTTGCTTTTCCTCCACTTCCCCAAAATTAGAAACTGTCTCAGAGTTCACTCAGGATGAAGCAGCTGAGTTGTGAAACGAGGAGGAAAAGAAGTTGGGGGGGAGAACACACCCCCTCTTAGACTTCCAACAAAGAGCCCTTGGACACACAAGCCCTGACACGTTGCTCCCAATTATCCCTCCTCTGACACAGCAGCCCCGTGGTTATTATCTCGAGATCAAAGCAAACACTCCAGAGGTATAAAACCTGCCCTGACCGAGTCCTGCTTATTTTGGGAGCTGGCAAGAACCTGGAAAGGATGAAGGCTCCTCTCCTCCTCCTCGCCGCGCTCGTCCTCGCCCTGTGCACGGACAGGGGTGAGTCTCCAAGGGTTTGCTTTGCTTGTGGGGAGACCCTCCCAAAACTTTGGCTTTGATGTGGTGGGATGATAAGAGGATTTTGCAGGAGGGTCACTGAGGTCTAGAAAATATTCCAGTCCTTGGGATAAGAAGCCAGGGGACGTGTTCCCACCAGAAGGTGGGTGGACAAGGAGGTGAAATGGGGGATGAGACACCCACCTCAGACGATTCATGAAGACCCAGCCCAGTCCTTGGAGTGGCTGAGAGCCCTCGGTGCAGCTCCATGGGAAGGGGGTTAGTTGAGGGATACACAGAGCTAAAGCTGCAGGTTTGACCCAAGACTCACCACGGCCTGATCATTATGAATTTTTTTCACTTGTTTATTGGTTGCAATTACAAACCATCATTACCTAAATCACTAGAGATGGGCAGACCACAAGAGGAGAGGCAGTTCTGGCTCCCATCTCTCGTTGCTTTGAAGTGCAGCAAGGCTGGAAATGATCATTAAGGTTGGAAATGACCTTTCAGATCATCAAGACTGACCATTAACCCATCAGGAAAAATGCCATCACTGAAAGGGTGCTCAAGCATGGGAACAGAGAAGGGGTGGAATCACTGCCCATGGAAGTGCTCAAAAAACATGTAGACGTGGTGCTCAGGGAAGTGGTTTAGTGGTGAACGTGGCGGTGCTGGGGTAATGTTGGACCCGATGACCTTTGAGGTCTTTTCCAGCCCCAGCGGTTCTGTAATTCCCAGTCTGGTTGATTCCAGGTCTGGGATGGAGATGCAGAGTCCCATTTTCATTCTGAGAAGTGTCTGGAGTTTTTTTGGGGGAAGAGCACTGGGAACCTGCATTTCAGTTCTCCTGGCTGGGCTCTGCCTGTGCCTCTGGGAGCCCCCCAAGGTTGGATTGTGGGTCAAGCAAGGAAGGGAAGGTGCTGCCCTGAATATTCCTCTATTTTAGGGGAATAGTTGATTCCCTCAGCTCAGGGTTTTTTTGCCTTATTACAAACTGAGTTTTTCTCAGCCTCTGCTGTAGCATTTGACCTGCAAACTACCACCCATTCTGCTCCTGGTCTAGCAGAGCCCTTCAGCTCTGTAAATATTCTTATCACGGGAATACTTATCACAGGTTTTAAACTTGGTATGTGCTAAATCGTTGTGCTCAAGTTGAGAACGTTAAGGACAAGAAAAGGATCTTATCAACTGTAATCACACTTCTTAAAAAGATCAGTGGAAATTACCCCATGAGCAGCCCCCCTTTGCTGTGCAATCCAAGGTTGGTTCCTCTTCCAATTAATCCTGAAACCGGTGTCAATCCCTGCACTTCCTAATGCTTCACACATGTAAGAGGTTTATGTGTGTGGCTGGAATTATCCACGAGAACATTTTCCTCGGGGAATGTTCCCCTTCAGTCAGAGCAGAGGTCCTGGTGGGTGCAGGCAGGAGACATCCAGTGCAAAATACACTGATTTTATTTGAGGTAAACCAGCTTAGGCCAGCCTGGTTTAACTCCAGGTTTACACCTTGGGTAGGGCGCTGAAAGAAATAGTTTTCCTTTCCTTCTCAGCCCTCAGATACCTGAAGAGATTAAATAAAATTAGAAATGTTTTTCAGTAGAATGACCAAAATTGTCCTCCCTGAGTTCAGGGTCTTAATTGAGCTGCCATTTAGGATTCCATCTGCTTCCAGAGTCCTCTAGGGAATGGTGAGTAAGAAATCTCCTGAGGAGAGTCAGAGGTTGGAAAAGGTGATGGAAGGCTCCCAGGGCAACTGGACTCTGAAATGAAGACTCCCAGCTTTGGGAGGATGGGATGAAACAGGATTTGGGCACATGACAAGCTCCACTGTTTCCTGCATTAATTCAGGAAATTATTCTGGGGATGGGCTTGGATTAAAGAAGCTGTATTATTAAGGATTAAGCCAGGCTATGTGTCTGGAAAATCCAGTTTGGGGATTCAGCTTTAGTGCGTTTCTGGGAGGAAAGGGTGGTTCCCAGTGGGGTGGAGCAGAAACATCCCTGGATGGGATTTGCACGAGAAAAGAGAGTGGAGCCACACATTTCTCACACAGATGGTCCTAAGGAAGGGTCTCAGACTCGAACAAATAAATTTATCCATCAGGGTCAGGACAATACTGAAGGCAAGAGCCAAGTGAGAGAACTGCTGAGGTTCTGGAGATGGAAATGACTGAGGTAGGAAGGAAATTGCAGTAGTTTTGGTGTGAAGTCAAAGAGAGCCGAGGGTGCCAAGGGTGAGGGGTTTGAAACAACCATGGCAATGGAGGGTGATGGGATCTGAGGCACTGCCAGCCCAGTTTTATGGCCTCTCTGTCCTCTGTGGCCTCTGCTCATGGCCATTTAGTGGGATATAACAGAGTAGGGAATGGGAGGACTGTGGATCATGAAAGGAAAAGGAAGGTCAGCACTGGGAGGCCACGGAAAGGGAGAAGGGGCTGAGTTGGAGTGGGAGAAGAAGGCAGCTTCCACCGAGGCAGAGGATGAATAGTGACCTAAAAGGCATTTCCTATGGAAACCAGTGATCCTGGGGTTATGGACTGAGCTGGAGCTGGGGCTGAGCCTGTTTGGGCCACATGAACTTGTCTTAAGGTCACACAAGGGCAGGGATGAGGTTGGGACACTGTGGACAAAGGTGCTGATGAGCTTGGGCAGGGGAGAGGAAGAGCAAGGAAGTTGAAGGGCAAGGAAGGCAAAGATAAAGGGGAGAAAAAGAGAAGAAAGATGAAGGACAAGAGGGAAGAAGAGCAAGGAAGATGAAGGGAGAGGAAGGCAAAGCTAAAGGAGAGAAGAAGAGCAAGGAAGATGAAGGGAAAGGAAGGCAAAGCTAAAGGCCAGTGCTGCTCCAAGAATTAAATGGGTATTAACGGGCCATAGAAAGAGATATTCTGGACATGAGGATGAGTCTAATCCCCAGAGGGTGACATTGCTGTCAAGAGTGTTTGTGCCAGATAAAGAGATGAGGAAATTCCTCTTATCATGCAAAAAAACCTTCCCCAAGGATCTCTTTGCCATGAATGGCTGTTTTAGCCTCAGTGAGTGCAAACTGTTTGCATTCATTCCCGTCAGCACAGCGCTTGGCAGATGCAGAGTGTTCCAGATGTGCACATTTTGTGGAGAGAGGATGTTAATACCCATGGGTGACTGTAAAAAGGAATCTGCTGCAGCCCAGGGGGTGATTTGCTCAGCCCTGTCTTCTGCAGGTCCAAGATTTTCCTCCTGACACAGGAGAGCTCTGAAAATTAACCAGAAAAATCATGGGATGGTTTGGGTTTGAAGGGATCTTAAGGATCATCCAGTTCCAACCCCATGCCATGGGCAGGGACAACTTCCACTAGACCAGGTTACTCCAAGCCTTATCCAACTTGGCCTTGAACACTTCCAGGGATGGGGCAGCCACAGATTCTCTGGTCCAGTGTCTCCATCCAAGAACTCTTGTCCACCAACCAAGGCTTGAAGGAGCCAGGCTGGAAAGGGATCCCAAGAGCTTCACACTGGAAGTGACAGTAGACCAGGGTGCTCTTTCCAACAGCACACTGGAGATGCCACACATCTAAATGGATTCAAGGCAGAGTCAACTAAATAGCCAGCAGGAAGATCCCTGAGGGTTCCTAAAGGAGTAAAGCACATCTGTGGTGGGAATTTGAGCTTAAACTAACTGGGCTCCTGGGGCCAAGTTTAACACATGGAGGTGGTTGTCAAATTGTGGCCCCTGGGCTTGACAGATCCTCCATCCACCACCAGTTTTGTGCTCCTGGGGATGTTTCTGGAGGTGATTGATTCTGGATTGTGCTTTTTTGGCAGCTTCCTCCTTGACCTGTTTCTCGTGCAAAGACGCGACTTCCAACATCCACTGTCTCGGCACCACCAAATGCTCCGACAACGAGAAGTACTGTCTGACCACCTATTCCACCACGGGAATGGGTAAGTGGGGAGAGCTTTTCCAAGGCTCTGATGGCGAGATGGGGATTAGGGGAGGCTGATTGCAGAGCCTGCTCCCACCAGGAGGTGTGGTGGAAGAATTAATGAGGATCGCAGCACGCGGAGAGCAAATCTTGCAGAACTCAGAGATTATCTCTGTAGCTGCACTGATTAAACACTCCTGGGAAAGGGAGACATTGGAATAGAAAGAATTTCCCTCCACAAACTCCTTCTCTCAACTCCAAGGTCAAGTAGGCATTCAAGAGGTGGTGGAATTAGAAAGGGCCAGGCACTGTGGAAGGAGCCACTCTGGAGTTGGTCTCCAGAGGTCACAATATACACAAATAATGGTGCAGCCAGAAGGGAAACCAACAGCAGCAAGTGGGAGTAGCCTGGGATCTACTACTGGATATTGCACATCCAGGTGATCACTGAGGCCTAAAAAAAATATATGAGATAAAAATCCTGACTTTTCCTGCTGTTTTCTGCCCCTCCCACCCCAGGCAGTGACAAGAACCAGCGCATCACCAAGAAGTGTTCTGCATATTGCCCGACAATCGACCTCAACATCGGCATAGCCGGGGTGGCCACCAGCTGCTGCCAGACCTCCCTGTGCAACATCAGCGGCGCCAGCAGCGTGAAAACCAGCGCCACCATCATCGCCCTGGGCCTCCTAGCCAGCCTGGCCTGCATCCTCAGCATGGGCTTTTAAAGGCTTTCCCAGGGGGAAATGAGGCCTTGCACAGCCAGGGCTCGAGGTGGCACCTGCAGGGTGGGAATGCCGCCCTGCTTCCCCTGCTCGGGAGGTCACATCCGATGACAAAGCCCAAGGGCACTGCCATACCTCAAAAGGATATTTTTGGAAGAGAAAGGAGTGATGTGGAGCCCACCACGGGCACCATCTCTCCTGCTATTGGCACTTTCTAAATCAGTGCAGTTTTTCCCCTTCGTTTTGTCCCTCGTGCCGTTTTTTTTCTCTTTATACCACTTTTTGCCCTGCATCATTTTGCTCTGAGGAAGCCCTTTAATATCAGAGTTGTTAAGCAGCAACTGGGCACAATAAAGTGTTATTTTATCCTCTCGCGTGGCTGCGTGGTGTGGGACGTGGGGAGGAGCTGCTGGATGCATCCATGGCAGCAGGAATAAAAGTGGAGGCTGCAAGTGGAAGGGAATAATGCTGGAATATGCTCAAATTGCTTTGCATTCACTTCAGAAAGCCTCTCCCCAGATTTTATTTTTCTGCATTGGCAGAAATGTCATTTTTGTGACTCTGTTTCAGAATAAACTCTATTTAACTTGCTTTCAGTTCGTCTTGTGAGTCAGCTGCCCGAAGAGGAGTTGGGCTCCCCAGCAAACAGAGGGGACAGGGCAGGACTCCCCAGGAAGGGACCTCGAGCATTAAGTTTTCTTTAAACTGATGGAAGATCTTCCAGTGGAAATTGCTTTATTATAGGCATTAAGGATTATCTTGAAAGGGGAGAAAAGCATCTTGCACGGTGCTTAAAGGCAGGAAAGCCAGATGTGTGTCCGCTGGAGTCTGGAAATTCCAGCCTCATCTGTGACAAAATATGAATTTGGAAAATGAATCTTTTAGGTTTGCCAGTCAGGTGTCCCAGCGTGGGTAAAATGGAAGGGATTCATCACCCTGCCCTACCCTTCCCTGTGGATAATCTTGGGAATGAGAGATTTCCTCACTCAAACCCTTCCAAAGGGAGCCAGGGGAGGATGAGTTGCTTTCTCCCGAGGCAGCTCTTCCCAGGGATCACTCCAAGGAAGATCTCCCAGGATAATTAGTTGTCTGCAGCTGACCCAGCTGGTTTTCCCTCAGTAGACTCGTGTCACAGGGAGAGCAGCTGCATGTTCTGCTCCCCCTGATGGGCATTTACTCAGAAACAGCCACATCTTTGTTATTTTGAACAGGTTTTCAAAGGAAACTTGACCTCAAGACCAGCTCACCCCCACCTGCTCTCACCCCTTCCTCCCATCCATATCCCACCTCCAGCTCTGCACTCCTGGCTGTTTTCTCTCCTAGGTTTCCTCTTTGGCTTCTTCATCCAATCTTAGTCCTGTTTTTTCCACCCAACCTCTATTTTCTTGCTACAGCCTCAGCTCAGTGTTTTCTCCTCGGTGTAAATCCAAGGCTGGCCGAGAATACTCTATCTTTAGCCCCGAGACTCTTCCTTCTCCTTGTGGTTTTTATCATCCCCCAGCTGAGCTGGTTCCACTCTTCTGTCAGATTTACCCTCTTCCCTTTTCTTCCCCTCCTGCCACATTTAGAGATATTCAAGTGACAGGCAGATGTGAACACCCCACACGAGCCAAGAGCTGTTCTGTGGCCCTCGGGTGGCCAAATTCTGCCCCACACACAGATCACAGCGTGGCAACAGCTGAACTATTTGGAATAATCCTCAGCCTTTGCTATCCATGGGTTTAGGATTCCTCAGGGACTGGGAAAGGGCAAGATGGGGTTATTAAGGCCCCAGGTCTCGTTGTGCTGAGCTTGTGAGTTCAGGCCAGCTCTTGGCAACCAGGTTTAAAATAAATCGTGTTTTGTGGTGCCTGAACTTGGCAGGTGCCTCTGTATTGGGTTGGGAAGGAACCTGGCATGGCCAAAGGGATGGAGGCACATGGGACACAACCTGCTTCTTGCCTGATTTCTCCCTAATCCAACAGATTCCAGTCCCTACTGCCCAGCAACACGACCCCACGTGTGTGGGGCCAAAGCTGACCCACGTCTCGAGGTCCTTGTCTGGAGGTGGGAGCTCAGCTGCCCTGAGGCACAGGAGGTCCTAAAAAACATGAAAGCTCCCTTAGAGACCCCTCCCTGGGAGGGTTGGGCAAGAGGAGACTCTCTGCCAACCTCCCTGAGAAATCCTGAGGTGCCACCTCCCGCTCACGGGCTGGTTCCTAATCCCACATCCCTCCACCCAGGCTTTCCGTTGGATCCCATGGCTTCATCCTCCTGGCATGGGAGTGTCGAGCTGCCCAGCACAGCCACCTGGGATGCCTGGAGGGCTCTTGGGAAGGAGATGGGAGTCTCATTCAAATACCTGGGATTGCTCCTGGGAGGGAACTGCCTCCCTCTCCCTGTGGATTGTATAAGAGCTCAATTTTCAGGCCTCTGAGTCAAGACCTGGATCAGCCAAGGAGGCCTTGCTCTGCCTAAATTAGGAAGTGCTTTAACTTTGGCCCTTCCTCTCCTTCACTCAGGGTTTTATCACGGTTGGTTTTGAAGGATCTGTGCTGCCTTCTGCTCTCCTTGAATAATTCCGGTGTCTTTCCCCTCACAACATGAAATTTCTCCCCTTTTTCCCCCTTTATCTACCCAGATCTGACCAACACCCGGCGACTCAATGACAAAGCAGGAGATGAGATGGATGCAAAAGATCAAAGCAAGGCCTAAAAAAGCTTCTGGAAGCCATGGAAAGGGACAAAAGCAACCCTTCTCCAAAATTTGCTGCTGCTCTGCTGTCACACAGCCAAGTGATGGCTCCAATTTAAAGTCCATTGCCAACTCATGGCTCCAATTTGAGGTCCATTTTAATTTTCCCAAATGGATGAGATGAGATGACTCTACAGAGGTGAGTCAGAATCCTTGGGGTTTTTATTGTTTCCAGTCTTCCTCAATCTTGCTCCTCACTTGGTGGCCCTGGTGTGCCTGCAAGATCCTTTCTAGATCCTTCAGTGATGCTTTTGTGATTCATAATCAGTCCTCTTTGAGAAAGAAATCTCTCTTCCCACTCTCCAGACACCGGGAAGAGGGAATATCCCAGTGTTAGGACACCAAGGAAGACATTAATGTCCTGGAAACGGCTCCCAGATACATTCTTGACACAGAAAAGCTCATTTCCAACCCAAATTTCTCCCCTTGGATGCCCTGGGGGAGTTTTAACATCACCACTCCTTCAAAGCTGACTCGATCCTATTGCAGGAAAGATCATGCAGGAATAATATGGATGTTGGGAAACTCAAAAAGACATTTCAAGGCCAGCTTGGACAGGCCTTGGAGCAACCTGGTCTAGTGGGAGGTGGATGAGATGATCTTGAAAGTCCCTTCCAAACCAACCCAGCCTATGATTCTCTGAAAGCCATCATGAGTCTATGGGATAAAACAGGACCAAAAATAAGGGGGAAATGGTTTCTTCCTTGTACCCTCATTGCGAAATCCCATCAAGAAGCCACACCCACTAATTAAGAAGGAAACCTGTTTATGACACCCTCGGTTATAAAGTTGCCCTCTGAGGAGCACGAGGCTGGATTTGATCATCACCAAGTCCTTGTTGACCTCACCAGCCTTCAAACCCCAGAGTGGGAATGTCCAGTTTGACATCAGGCTTGAACAACCCTGGAATTCACCCCCTGATGATGCCATTCCGGGAGCAGATCAGGACTCAGACACTCACATGGATAAGGAAATCATCCAGTGTTGGGATGATTCATATTAGAGATGGATAAAAATACCCTCCTGCTGGCTGCATCCAGGGAATTTCTGAAGTTATTCCATAATTGCCCAAAAAAGGAGGGTTTGACAATATTTTCTTTCGCACTTTCTGCTCTGCCTGCTGTCCAGGAGTGATTTTATTTTGGAAGAAGCTCTGTTGGGATGGCAACTCATGATGCATGTTGTATCAGGATCCTCTTTCCCTGACTGTCAGAAACAGATTTTAAGAAATTCAGAGGAGAGGAGCAACACAGAGGAATAAAAGAAAAGGGTTGATTGGAGAGGAGAGAGATTGAAAAAGAGACAGTTTGAGAGATGGCTCTTTGAGAGCAGAGCTGCAACTCCAGGGAGCCAATTTGTGGTTTCATAAATGGAAGTCTAATTTCGAGAAGCTGTTGGCTTTCTGTTGGAGAAAATCAGCTCCTCTGAAGGATCCTTGGAAGAGGAGCCAGACTTGATTAAATAACAAGCGCCCGGGGTATTTGAGGATTATGAGAGAGAGAAGAGGGATTAACGGGAAGGGAATTGATAAAGGAATGAAGAGTGACATGGAAATTGGAGGCAAATCTTCTGTTTAACTAACCATTAGCTAATTTAATGTGCTGTAAAACACACTGATTTTATTTGAGGTGCTGTAAAACATACCGATTTTATTTGAGGTAAGCCAGCTGAGAGCCCGAGGCCAGTGCTGGTGAATAATTAAGGGAAAGGAACGGTACAAACCCTGATCCATCACTATCCAAAGGGCTTGGAAAAAGTCATGGCTAGGACTGTATCCCTGTGCCTCCAGGCTCTGTTGCTGCATCAGAGCAGTGAGCAAAGCGAGAAACTCCGAGGAGAAAAGAGCAGATCCCAATTTCCCATCGCTCCCAAGACCGGAAGGGCAAGAAATGTGTCACCAAAAGGGTTTTTCCCCCCCCTGAGATGCTGTAGCCTGGAATTGCTCAGACTTTTAGGAATTTAATCTTAATATCCCTTAGCATCATCCCTTTTTGTACAGATCTCCCATGTTTTCACCACAGGACGTATAAACCATCACATATTGGCACCACATTCCAAACTGATTTAAGGACAGGCTTTTACACCTTTCTAGCCCGGTGTAAATCAAGAATAAGAGGTTGCAGCTTTCTGGTCTAAAAGAGGGACAACAGAAAACATGGAGGTAACTTGTTTGATCCCTCTCACGCATCTAGGGTCCAATCCAAGATCCCAATAACCAACTTTTGATCAAAACTGTCAATCTTTCAGCCCACCAAAGAGGGTCTGCTGCCTTTTCCAGCTATAAACTCACTGTTACAGTTAAACTGTGTCCGGAAGAACTCTTAAAAGGTTCCGACAGCTCCAGCCTGGAAAACTCCCACGTGAAACATCCCCCGCCCGTGGGCTGAGTCTGTGTCCACCTGTGGGAACCTGTAAAACTGCTGTTGCAGAGGTATAAAACCTGCCCTCCAAACACCTTCCCCGTGCAGCTGGGAGCATCTGCTGGAGATGAGGACTCCTCTTGTCACCCTGCTGGCTGCTGTCCTGTGTGTGCAACAAGGTGAGCCTCAGCTGCTGCTTCTGGCTAAGATCAGGGGCAGGGAGGAGGGGAGGGCAAATTTTTCAGGTGGCAAAAAATTTAGAGGGTTGTCCCCAGT